ACACTGCCTACTCGGTTGCAACTATCATCCCCATTTGAATCAATCAACTCTCATCCGCTAGAAGTAGAAAGAAGTCTACAAGATTTCCTATCCCAGTTGTGTCGAAGTAAACGGAGGCCATTGTTGGAAGGGTGAGGGTCAACTTCTCACCCTTCTCGTCGATTTGGACACTCTTTGACTACCCAGCCCTAACCGATAACTGCCCAACTGGTGGAGTTGACTCGGTTCACTCCACTCAAATATTCTTTCTCGGCACCGACTCCCTCTTTCGTTTGGCTCAGTGTTATGTAGCTTCTTCACTTGCACTTGGTATGTCCACGTTGATGTTTTTCATTAGCCTTTCTACAAAGACAAACTCTTCAGGTGTTAAAGGGTAAAGAAACGAATGTCGATACAAGATGTGGTTGTAGTAGAGAGTCAGCAACAAGTGTCACACTTGCTTTAATGAAGGGAAATGGGTACCTCTCTTAACAGCAACTACTCCATCCCAAAGGTAACTCGCCTTTAGGTTCGCCTCCTGAAGCATCACTCTCCAATCTGTTTGTTCCTTCAGTATAGTGAAAACTTCCCAGGTCGTCTTGTCCAGTCCCTCACCACTCTACCCGGCCTTGTTGAATGAGAGATTTGAAAAATAATGGAAGATAAGACTCAGTAATCAAAGTACAAACGACAAGTAAATATGCCACTCACCCGTGGCTCTCCAAGTGGATGGGATCTGATGTCACTCTGTCCCCTCTCGCTAAAAATCCTTTCTCCCTTTAAAAAAAAAGAATTTTTCCTTCCAGTTTTTATCACTCGACCTGAGACACGTCACCAGGTGAAGTCGGTCATGCTTTAAGGTGATAGTGTACCTCCCCTTGTCCTTGTCATGCTTCTTCAAATAGTAGGAGTAAAGGAGCTCGTGCAACCCAAACCTTACTCGGTTCATTGTGCAAAGGAGCTCCAACACCATCAACAATCTCTACCCATTTGGCATGATTTGAGTCGACACGATCATAAAATGATTCAACACCTCCCAAACCAACAGAGGAATCAACAATCTAAGCCAATCATAAAAGTAGATGTCGTACATGCCGATCCATCCTGGCACGTCCTAGTCGACTCTCTTGTAAGGCCTCGACATCCTTATCTTCACTGAGTCAAGTACGTAGCACATTGTTTTTATCCTCCACTTGTCTTCTTGCGTGAGCTCAGAAGGGTAATCCACGGGTAGGATACCACCGCCTGGTTGGCTCAGCTCACCCCCGGAACTCCCACTCATCGAGGGCTCGGCCTTAGGACTATTGCTTGGCTCTTTATTGGTCTCTTCCCCACTCTCCCTTTGCCCATCAATCTCACCATCGCTCAACTTGACAGAAGTCAGTTTGGCCACAACTACACTTAACCCCTTAGGCATCCCTACTGGTACGTTACCTTCCTTTGCCAGTACCACCATAATGGGAGCACTCTCATACTCATCTCCCATTTCTATCTTCATCTCTATCTGACTCTCCTCACCCGAATCAATATGCAACATTGAGAAACCTTCACAACACTTCAAACTCACTTCACTCATCTCGGTCTAATTGACTGACTGAATGATCGAAGCTACCTTAACCTCAACAAGCCCTAAAACTGCACTAGTTTTGAAGATTATCACTCGACTTGGTCAGGCGCACCAAAACGAGCCGAATGAAGACATTGGGTAACTTGGTCATTTCCTCCCAAACCCAAAACTCCCAAAATTTCTAGATCCGTTTCAGCTCTCCTCTCATTTTGACTAAAAATTATCTCCAAAAACCATTTGAAATCTCCACAGCCCAACCAAAATCACCCCAAACAACCTAGTCCTTACCCTAGAATAAAACCAAACCCAGAAAAATTTGGAAGAAGCTCTAGAAACTTCAAGAAAAACCGAAGGAAAATGAAAAAACACCAAACCACTTCAAGAAACTAGCCTAAACTCACCAAAACTGCTCTAAAGATGCGAAGAACACAAAAACAAGGAAAAAGGTAGAGATTCGTAAAGAAATGAAATTTTTACCGTGCATAATGGCAACAAATGTCTGCAAACCACCACTGCAACTAAGAAAGTTTTGAAAGAAAAAGAAAAAGGAGAAAGAAGGAATAATGAAGATGTATAGTCACCCTAAGGGTTTTCCTCCGTTTCTACTCACCCAACCTGCCAGGGCTCACACGTGGCAGCAGCCAAATGGTCGTGACACTTCAAATTCCCGCTCAAAAGGGAGACAAAATCCTAGCCCTACACATGTCTTGCGATAAGCTCACCTCGGGAGTTGCAATCTCTCATTTATCTCTCAAAATCTGCGAAACCCTACCTTACATGCGTCACATTCTCCTGACATCACCGACTTTCACTTAGACAAAAATCGACTCGCCTAGTTAAGCTGACTCGTGGGTTAGTTTTGGGAATGCTGAAATTCTCCATTCACAGTTCACGAAAGTAGGCTACGCTTGCACCCGACCCAATTAGCCAAGTGGAAACATCTACCCAGGGGCGCACCTCGCATCCTCCCACTTGGCTCGGTCAATCAAACAAGGACAATTACAAAGGATGCACCTGGCATCCTCCCACTTAGCTCAGTTAGCCGAGTAGGGACATCTACAAAAAATGTAACTCGCATCCTCCTACTCGACTTGGTCGGCCGAGTGGGGCCTCTATAAAGGATATACCTTATATCCTCCAACTCGGCTTGATCAACCGAATGGGGACATCTATAAAGGATGCACCCTGCATCTTCCGACTTGATTCAGCTAATCAAGTGGGGACATCTACGATAGAGGCACTTTGCATCATTCCTTATAACAAAAAACCTTCACTCAGCCGAGGGTATACTCGCTCGACCCGAGACACTGTCATCTGGCCTAGTTAACCTCCAGTCGAACCGCTTACTCTCCAAGCTAAGGATTCCTTAACTTAGAGAGTGGGGGGCTAACTGTATGGGCCAAAAATCGTCTTGGGCCTTGTCGAGCCTATGCAAGTGGCTTCTATTGTGTGAGCCCAAGGTTATGGCCTAATTGAGGTTGGGCCCACATTAAGGTTCACGTCATGGGCCAATTCCATGGCCTAAGCCCAACTTCTCTCCATATTGGGCATCACCATTAGCCCACCTAGGGTCAAACCCATTGGTCCATGATGACGTCTAAGGGGTAAGAATCCTAATAAAAACTCTAATACACCTACTTCCTATTTGGGTTTTATCCTAATTCACCCCAAATCTTGTATCTTATGTGAATTATGACTCTTAATCCTACTAAGGCAAGTGAATCATGATCTTTCCTATAAACTAGAACTCTACCAATACGGATTTCAAGTCCTACTAAGATTCGAAGATCCTATGACCACTATAAAAAGAGAGGTCTTGCCTTTCATTAGGCATTCAATCTCAATACCATCTACTTACTCTTAAGCTCTTGCTCCCAAGGGTTATACACCTATGTTATAGTTCTAGTTTCTGACTAAACTTCTGGTAACCCTTCCTTCCTTTAGCCCTTACTAAATAGCCTCATTCAACCTTACTGACTTGAGCGTTGGAGTGCCTATGACAAACACCACACCAGTGTTTTACATAAGCTTCGCGCTTGTGTTCTTTGTGTTGCAAGTTTAACAGATTGTCAGTAGCCTCAACCTCACAGGATCAGACCTCATTCTGTAACCGTAGATTTTTACCGTCTACAGAATCCAATTCTTCATTCCAGAATGAAGCATGTTGAAATTGATTTTAGTGTATTCAAGAAAAAGTTTTATAGAGACACTTGCAGGTTTAACGTGTTTCTACATGCGACCATATAGTTGACATTTTAATAAAGGGGCAGCAAACAACATTTTGAATGTATTTGATAACATTTTTAATTTCTCAGAGACATGTTTACTCTATACGTCACTCTATTTCGCTTGTGGGAGCATGAAAAGGATAATTCCAAAGTTAAATATGAAAAGAATATTGGAGATAAAGCCTTATTTGTAACTTAATAGACACCCTTGAGGTTTAGTGAAAAAAGAAGGGGATCCACAAGTTTCAGAATGAAACACTTACATTATTGTAATTGAATGATGTTTATAAAAAGTAACTATTATAATAATAAAATATATAACAAAATAAAAATAAAAAACAAGTTTTTTATTTCCTAAATGTTTTATCGAATTGTCAAAGTTTAATAATTTTAAATCATTTAACATAATTAATATTTTGATTATGTGACAAATGTCAAATATTAGTTTCTTTTTATTGTAGGAGAAAACACAAAATAAGGGAATTTTAGCCATTGTACCAAGATTTTATGTTCAAATTAATTTTTGACAAAGTGTCTGTCAACGTATAAGTGTTTCATTCTAAAACTACAAAGATGTAAGTATTCCATTCTAAAACCTATAAATCTCTTTGTTTCTTTAACTGAAGCTTAGGAATGTCCATATAAAATCATCGTAGTGTGGTTACCCACCTTTTAGAGCTGAAGAATAGCATGATTTTGAAAAATTGAAGATAAGAACCGGGAAACTAAACGGGTAGCCCAACCAAACTCAAGCCAGTTTTTGGAAACTTTATTCGACCCGAATTATCCTATCCAAAGTATCTGCTTTCGGGCACCACCCACTCCATCGGTATAGTGATAATTCAACCGTACTTTATTGATCATAAATACGTACAATAATAAAATTTAAAAGCAAATTAATTACACTTTATATGACATGAGTTTTTATAAGATATAGCTTGATTTACAAACTTATTAGAATTATGAATTTACACGTAGATTTGTTTTAAACACTTCTACAATGACAAAAGCCATGAATAATCTAATTACAAGTGTCACAGCGTGGTCAATCTTTTATACTTTTGGAAATCCATGATTCCACCTGTCATTTTTAAACAAATATAACGATTAACATGCAGCTTCAATAGCATAGCAATGGCAATTAAGTTTCCTTCTCAATTTCTCAAACATCAAATCAGATAGATAGATTGAAACATATTTTCTTTCCTGGAATTTTATTCTGAGATATGCAGAAAGGTAAGCATCAAACCACTCACCCTTTTTCTTTTTATTGCCATTTTTGCTTTTAATTATATACTTCTTCATTAAAACATTCAGTTAATCTTGAGAATTTTGAACTTCAGATACTAACACCAAACCTACATTCACACAAGTAATTGTAGCCTCCTCCTTGGGCTTGATCATTGCGGCGGCGATGCATATTCGGATTCGAAGGCTAAGGGATCAGAAAATCATTCCAAGGAAAAGATCCTCACACTCTGGTCATGTTGAGAAGCTAGAAAGGTTCCCCCATTATGTAGGTAAATATTAACATTTCTCATTTCTGAATTCTCATCAGGTGGTAAATTATTATTAAATTAATTAGGATTAATTATTTTTTATGATATATCCATGAGAGTTTGGCCAAATGGTTAGGCAGCTCTCATAAAGTCTAGGATTTGACTTCCTTATTGGCACCTGTATGGTCAAAGGTCATTGTTTCCTATTTTTCAAAGCTTGGAAGATGGCAAATGCAAGGGGGGCTTTGGATTCTAAAAAATAAATAAATTACTTAAATATATATTTTTTTTATGTTTCTTAATACATGTTGATGAAAATGCAGCAAGGCAAATGGGATTTGCAGATAGGAAACAATGTCCAAGTTTGTGCAAATTAGCAGCAGAATATATAAGAAAATCAGAAGGGACCGAGGATGATATATATACATTTTTTTCTAATGAGCCTGGAGCTGACTCTCTATTTATAAAGCTAGTTGAGGAGTTCGAGAGATGCACTCTTAGCTATTTTGCATTCCATTGGAGCCATGCTGATCTTATGATTAGTCAGGTAACTGTAATTAAGAAGATCTAATAATACTTATAGTTAATAAAATGAAATATCATGATTAATCAAAGTATTTATATCTTTCTAATTTCAGGTGTTGAGTTCTGATGCCGAGCCCAAAAGGAAGCTCAAGAACATAGTTATGGCAGCAACTAGGTAAATACTTTTTTCATTGGATCAGTTATAGAATTTGTACTTTTAAGCCGTTTCCAAGAACATTAAATGGAAAAAAAAAAAATTTGTTAATTACACAACCACCCCTGAGGTTTTGAAAATTCTAGAACTACGCCACATATTTTGAAATTGTTTAGATACCACCCTTAAAGTTGACACTGTTAAAAATTTTATGACTCATGAGATGAGAGGCAAATTTGTCTTTTAACACACTTTCCATTGAAAAAAAAAAAACTAATTAAAAGTAGCTTGGGATATAATTAAAAACAGCCCGGCTAAGGCATAAAATATACCCAGGCCAGGCCTAGTCTTCATTATTTACTTAAATTCGGAGATGGGTGGTGAAGAAGAAAATAGTAGGGCTTAAAAAAGCATATATATCCCTTTGATTTATTAGTCTTCAACAGCGCCCAAATTGTTTTCATTTAAATGCTACCTTACGTGTAATCTACAAGTGATGTCATTCCTGATAAATCAAAATATTAACATGGACAAAACATGAAAGACTTATTATCAAATCACTATTATAAAGTTCTAGTGCCATGAACCTCATTTCAAAGTACCCAAAAAAAAAAAAAAAAAAGCATGAATTTCATTGAAACAAGTCTGCAATAATACTATCCTCAAACTATAATAGCTGAATCTCACTTAATCCAGATCCTATGACTATAGTGTTCTTGAGCATTTGTGAAATTCTTCTGTATTTCGTTTGAGTTGCAGGGAACAAAGATTTGAGAGGCTAACAAAAAATTTAAAGGTGGCTAGAGTATTCACTACATTAGTGGAGGAAATGAAGGCAATGGGAATTGCATCAAATGATGACTCACAGTGTACAGAGGTCATGGCTCCTGTGGACCACCGTGATAGAAGTCCAGTACTCCTTTTCATGGGCGGCGGTATGGGAGCTGGGAAGAGCACTGTGCTCAAAGACATTCTCAAAGAGTAAGTATTGATCAACTCAAAAACTGGTGGTACAAAAAAAAACAAAAGCTTGTATTTTCAGTACCCTTCTCGTTGTTCCTAGCAAGATTGAGGTTAGTTTCAGAATCTGTTTACAATTAGGAAAAGTGGAAAAAAAAGAATCCACTAATTTTCTTAAAAGTTTGAGTTTGAGAGTTTCACCCGAAGAATTCATGGAAAGTCATGGCAGTATAGACAATGCAACTCTAACATAGGTTGTTTTGGTGAAAAATGACAGACCATTCTGGGCAGGCGCAGCAGCAAATGCAGTGGTGACTATTTTGCCCTTAGTTAGATTTTATGCTTTTTAACATAAAATTAACATCTAAAGGACTATTTCAAGTTAGGAACATACCTTTGACATCTTGGGTATTACACTACCTGTCAACGATATGGTTACCATACAATTCGATCCTTTCATCATACGTTATCTCGATGAGACGAAGGCATAGAAATAGTATCAACCTTCGGTTACTCTCAATATTATGTATTCAGTTTCTAGACCAATGACCTGTATTATAAATTGGATAGACCAATAACTCAATCCCACTGTGGCCACAGGTTTAGTGTTATTGCCATATACTAAATTGCGCCGTGAGATAACTTCTCCCATACTCGGGAGTGATGAATCCTCTGTCTATCCACCATAGTCTTGATACCCTCCTCAATACAGCCAATCACCACCGTATGGACAGCTCTGAAAAGAACTGCGTTAGGCTAGTGTCAAACTACACCAATTGGTGCACAAGGCGCTCCAGTGATCTCAAGTCTAAGGATCACATGCACCACCATTCGTTAGAGGATTTGTTCCATAGACACTGGGGTTACCATCCATATGGAATCCTCTAGTGGGCCAGTCCAGTGAACTTGCCTTTAGCAAGCACCCATGTGTTGCACTAGGTTGTCACCAAACAACCTTGACAAGTGAGATCAGTCACTACCTTTTGACAGGGTCGTTCAACGCTATGATAGCCTTACCGTATTATCTGTGCCCTTACTTTAGAATAATACTGGGGCTACGGACGTTTCTAAAATGGCCACCATATGTGCTCATAGGGTTCTCACTTTCAAGATCTGAAACACTTGATACCCTCGTCACGGTTCTACCATTCTAAGGACATATATCAGTACATATTGCAATAATAATGATTTACATATAGAATAAAATGCCTTTTATTCTTGATTAATGAACATTATTACAAAGAGTCAATTCTACAATAATTGATTGGCTCTATGGCATTTACTTTAACAAAAAGTGCATGTAGATGAGGACTGTACCCACTCACACGGCCGGGGTTCCGAATCCATACCTCAACCGAGTCCGATCGGCCAACAAGAAAAGAAAAGAAAAGAAAAGAAAAGAAAGAAAAGAAAAGAAAAGAAAAGAAAAGAAAGAAAGAAAGAAAGAAAGAAAGAAAGAAAGAATAGAAAAGAAAAGACAGAAAGAATAGAAAAGAAAAGAAAGAAAGAACAGAAAAGAAAGAAAGAATAGAAAAGCAAGAAAGAAGAGAAACAAAAAAGAAAGAAGAGAAACAGAAAAAGAAAGAAATGCATAAAAAGAAAGAAAACAGAATAGAAACATAAAGCAAAATCAGAAACAGAAAATAGAATATGAAAACAGAAAAGAAAATGCATTGCTTAGAAAAGTTTATGCATTTGTGCATATGCATCATGCCATTTCTACTATCTCGAGTTAGTTTCCCTATTTGTGTTTACATATCGGTAAGTGGGAAACTAGAATCTTAGAAAGAGCCAAGAAGAATAGAGAAGCTTAAAGTAAGGAAAGAGAATCCCGAATCTGAGTAATGGAGGAAGAATAGAAGTATTGTGGGTCTACTTATTGAGCAATTTAGTGCTCATTCCATTGATTTCATTGTTTTTGCAGGTAACAGATGAAATGCGGTCGGGACTAACATCAAATAGCGGAGGAGAATGGCACCACTGTCCAAGATTACTTTGTACTTATTTATGTACTATTATTACATGATGTAGAGATTTGTATATAAAGTAAAATTTGTTTTAGGCCTACTATTACATTCTTACATACATATATATTTTCTATAATATATTTAGTGAGTTTTACTTATATTTTTCCAAAGAAATACTAGTTAGAAAGAATATTACACAAGGTGAGCTCGGAGTTCAGCTTATTGGTGGCACCCTGCTACAATGCCAAACTCTTCTCAGCCTCGACCGGTTTTGCTTCAGCCTTTGCCTAAGCAGTCTCACTCACCTTAACCTTGTCAAAGGAAGTCCCTTTCCTTGACCCCAACGACCACCATTTCCTCCTTAAGACGTTCAAGCTGGGCTTGCTTCGAGTCTTTCTCTTTCTCTTTCTCAGCCTTAGCCAAATCATCCTCCTTGAGCACTATTAGTAAACGATCCAGTGACGCAGCGGAAGAACAAAACATGGACAACATGGATTGTTACTTAGAACCAAGATCTAGGTACAAAATTACAGTTTATATATATTAAATAAGAATCTGCAGATTTTATTTTAGAGTTTAAGAAATCATACGCTCGTTTAGAGGGTCCTCCAACTTGTCTCTGAGCGTATTTTGCTACCGACCTAAGTATAGGATTGAACCGGTGTAGTCCACATGAAAATAACCTCAAGGAACTAAAGAAGGATTTACTGGATCCTTTTTAGCCTTTAAGAACCAAGAAGAAAAATCAAGTATATTTGATTCCAAGCAAAAAGCAATCTGGCATGGAGAATGTTTTAGGGGCTGGAATGTTTTCTTTCTTTTCAATGAATGAAATGAATGAGTTAATTTTTTTATTTCACAAAGTGTGCACTTATATAGTGCACACTATACCCTATTCCATCATAGAATGGGCTTGCGCTCCAACCCAGACACCCTTGTTTCCAAACACCCCCTTTAAGATATTTTAATATTAATTTATCATTATCTCAATTAAATTCAATTAATATATATTTACAATATATATATATATATATATATATAATAACATTTAACAATAATGAAAATTTATTTAAATATATGCGAACAAATATTTAAACGTAATCTCACTTATTTAATTTTAATATCAAATTAAATAAAGGCTACAATCTCAGCAAATTTAATTGCACTATGAAAATACCAAAATACCATTTTCGCCTAAAAGGATGAAAACACCCTTCTTCTAAGCTGGCTCTCAAATTATCTTCTATGTGTGTGACCCATAGGCTCCCCATCATACCGGTCATGTGTAGTATCGCGATTAACACCAATTAATCTTCTCACTACACACAGACCAAGATTGGCCCCTAGCAAGGCATCATGGCCTCCCGATAGATTCAGATTCAGTGAAGTAGCTACCTGTCAACGATATGGTTACCGTACAGTCTAATCCTTTCATCATCCGTTATCTCGACGAGATGGAGGCATAGAAATAGTGTCAACCTTCGGTTACTCTCGATATTGTGTATCAGTTACTGCACCAATGACCTTTATTATAAACTAGATAGAGCAACAACTCAATCCCATTGTGGCCATAGTTTTAGTGTCATTGCATATTTACGTGAGAAACGTGAGATAACTTCTCCGTACCCGTGGGAAGGATTGAATCCTTTGTCTATCCACCATAGTGGTGTATCACTCCTTGATGGAGCCAATCAACACTGTATTGATAGCCTCAAATAGAAACTGCGTTGAGGCTAGTGTCAAACTATACCCAATGGTGCTAAGGACTCAGGATCTCAGTAAGGATCAATACACCACCATTAGGTAGAGGATTTGTTCATAGACACTAGGGTTACCATCCAATGGAATCCCTCTAGTGGGCCAGTCCAGTGAACTTGCCTTTAGAGCAAGCACCCATGTGTTGCACTACGGTTGTCACCAAACAACCTTGAACAAGTGAGATCAGTCACTACCTTTTGACAGGGGTTCAACTCATGATAGCCTTACCGTATTATCTGTGCCTTACTTCAAAATAATTACTGGGCTACAGACGTTTCTAAATGGCACCAATTGGCATAAGGTCACTATCAAGATTTGAAAAAACTGATACCCTCGTCACGGTTTTACCATTCTAAGGACATTTATCAATACATATAATGATGATTTACGCCAGTAGTATAAATGCTTTTATGATCAATGAACATTATTACACAAGAGTCAATCTACAATTGATGGCTTAGGGTATCTCTAACAATCTCCACTTGCACTATAGCCATATTCATGTATTTAATACCAAATGATCTCAAGTGCTTTCAGCTTCTGCTGCGACAGAAGCTTGTAGTGCGATCTGCGGTATTGTCATCAATAGCACTTTACTAATAGATTTCTTCTCCAACTATCTCTCTGATGATGAGATGGAAGTCGTTTGAGTATGTGTCTGATGACTTCTATGAAGACCGTGGTTCCTTCACTTGAGCGATTGCTCCATGTTATCACAATAGATGTCTATGATCAACAATCTTGGAAACCATACCAATTCAGTAATGAAACTTCTTAATCCAGACTGCCTTGGTCGCATCTAGCAATGCAATATACTCAACCATCATGTAGAGTCGTACAAGTTTTGCTTGGAGCTCTGTCCAACTCACTACCCCCCATGAGACAAAATGAAAACCCTGATTGCTACGATAATCATCTTTGCCGTTTGGAAATAGCATCCCGTATCCTCTTACAGTGAGTCATCTTCCCCTCATAAACAAGAAATCTTAGTCTTTTCAAGTACTTAAGAATATTCTTGATAGCCATCCAGTGAATGCCCACCTGGATTCGATTGATATCTACTACAAGTGCTCAAGCACATGAGACATCAATCAGTCATAGCATGACATACATGTGATCCAATGCTGATCGTATGGATCCTCTTCATCCTATCTCTTTTCATCTTGTGTTCTAGGAACAATTCCTTAGAGAGATAAACACCATGTGACATCAGGAAGAACTCCTTTTGGATTCTCCATAATGAATTTTTCAGGACTTGTATTAGCAGCTGACTTAGGCCAAGCAACCTACGCAATCCAACACGAGATCTTTATTCTAAGGATATAGGTTGTTCCCCTAAGTCTTCAGCAAAAGTACTTGGATAACCAAGTCTTTACCGAGTGCAAGTTCGGTATTCATTCTCGATCAGAAGTATGTCATCGACAATAAACATTAGAATGGTACTGCGCTCACCGCTCACTTTTTGTAAAACAGGGCTCATCTCGTTCTTGATAAAACTAAATTCTTTTATGGCCTCACACAAGACGAAATGTTCAGCTCCTTGACAGACTTGAGTCATATTGGATCTCTGCAACTTGCATACCCTATCGCTTGCCCATTAAGAACGAAACCACGGTTGTGTCATATACATATCCTCTTAAAGGTTTCCGTTAGGAAAGCTATTTTGACATCATTTTGCCAAATCTATAGTCTGATATGCAACAATCGCAAGCATAATCTGGAGGATTTTAATCATGGACAACTGACCAAAAGGTTTCTTCATAGTCAATACCATGAATTTGTTTGAAACTTTGGCAACCAAGTCATGCCTTATAAGTATGCACCTTGCCATCTATGTCCGTCTTCTTTTAGAAGACCCATTTACACCTATGGGTGTTTACCCTTCAGGTGGTTCCACCAAGAATATTAGGTTCTGATACATGAGTGCATGCTCAGATTCATGCTTCAAGTCATTATATGACTCAGGATCACAATAGAGTGTCTTTTAGGTCTTGGGTTTGTCTTAGTAGGTAGATATGTTACCATGTGTGAGTCCCGAGATAACCATATCTCTCGGGCTCATGGCGTTACTCTACCAGATTACGTAGCTCCATATGCTACCTGAGGTGTTCACTTTGACACAAGTGGGAGTAACCTCCTCGATGTCAACACCGTAAGCACAAACTCATCCCGTCCTTCATCCAGTATATTTGTGGCTCTAGAACTTCATCGAGTTCTACTTTTCCTCCCATTAGTACTTCTTTAGAAAAAAATTCCTTTTCTAGGAAGACACAAACGAGCCAACCAAAAATTTGCGCTCTTCTAGGTGGTAGAAAATATCCTTTGGTGTCCGTTGATACCCCATAAATGATACATTTACAGATTTGGGTCCAGCCTGTTCGAAAACAATTTCTTAGCATAAGCTTCGTAACCCAAATCTTAGATAAGACAACTGGGCTTTCGCCACCGTTATAACTATATGGAGTCTTATCAATAGACTTTGATGGCATACGGTTCAAAACATAAGTCGTGTTTTAAGGCATAACCCCAGATGATGTAGGTAAATCACTAAAACTATCATGGACCTAACATCGATCAAGTAAGGCTTATTCCTCCTTTCAGACACTCCATTGTGTTGCGGGTGGAGAGGAGGGATGAGTTGTGATTATACCACATTTCTTCAGGTATTCAGAAAACTCTGAGCTTAAGTTTTCATCTCCCGATCCGACCGAAGAGCTTCAATACTTTTGCCCAACATATTCTGTACTTCATTCCTAAATTCCTGAATTTATCAAAGGCTTCAGATTTATGTCTCATAAGGTAGACATACCATACTACTGAAAATATTAGTAAATGTGATGAAAGTTGATGAAATCCATCTCTGGCCTCAACTGTTAATGGACCATATACCTCATTATGATGATGGCCTAACAGCTCAATAGCCTTTCACCTTGTCCTGTGAAAGGAGACTAGGTCATCTTGCCTAACAGGCAGGACTCACATACCTCAAATGATGAAGTCAAAAGGGGTCCAAAACTCAGTTTTGCAATGCGGGTCTTATTACATGACCCAAGTTACAGTGCCAGAGGTATGTCTGGTTTGATCGCTATGTTTAGCTTTCTTGGTTCAACATTGAGAATATCTTATTGTTTTAAATCAAAAGCATATAATCATATATACCTTGTAATTCCAAAATAGAATACACATCAAAATAAAGGACATCAATCCATTAGATATCTCAAATGATACCTCATTATCAAAGCGGAGTATGAAATAATATTTCTAGAAATAGAAGGTAACGTGATAACAGTTAGTAGTTCCA